CGCATTTGCTATGCGAAGCATGGTCCCAAACTTCGCTAAGCGAAAATTGCCCATAGGAAACATTGTTAAACGGTGCATATTATTTTCTAAAAAAACCCATCGTTATGCGAATTCATCGCTAAATGAGGCACTTGTTAAGCGAGGCACCACTGTAAGTTGAACTGTATAATATAAGAATGAAATACTGCAACTATCAAATATAGTCAACCCTCGATTTATGAACAGACCTAGTTACAAATATTTCGACTTACAAACTGCTCTGATAGGAAAATATTGCCTCAACTTGTGAACTTTGCTTCAAGTTACCAACGGAAAAAAAACATGTGGGAGGCGGGGAAAGTGCGAAATTTGAACAGTTACCAGTTCTCTCCTTCCCTTCCTCTTTTCTTTCCTAAGTCATCTTAGGTTAAAAGGAAAAAAAGAAAAAATCTGCCCCTCGTGGCAGGAACAGATTAACCAGCTTTGCATTAGTTCCTATGGGAACTAATGCTTTGACTTACAAACCGCCCCTCGACCTAAGAACCAAAAACAGCCAGAATTGATTAATTGGTTTTCAATGCATTCCTATGGGAAATGCTGATTAGATTTATGAACTTTTCAACTTACGAACGTCCTTCCGGAATAGATTAAGTTCGTCAGCCGAGGGTTGACTGTAAATCATATATTTTTGCATCCTGATCTAGACATATTTATATAGGCATTTGCTGCAATGATTTCAACTTTGTTTACTCTCAGACAAATATGCTAAAGTAGCATTTGTTTTATGTATAGGCTTAGATTTGCACAATGACCTTTAACAATAACTGCCTCTGATAAATATAGTCTATTGTACTGCATAATCTTATCATGCTTAAATATGGTGAAAACTACTCAGTAACAATGTGATTCTTGCGACAATTCTTTGCATACATTTTCAGAAAAAAGATCAAATAATTTCATGGGAACTAATCCCAGTTATGTTTATACAAAATTGCAGCTGTACTTTTACTTACACTAAATACAACCCTTCTCATTAAGAAGTGTCAAA